ATATATATGTTTTCCGATGGTCTTAGGCGACCCCTGTGAAAGGGTCGTTCGACCCCCAAAGGGGTCGCGACCCACAGGTTGAGAACCGCTGCTCTAGGGACCTTGCTAGCCCGAGGCTGTGCTGAGCGCCCTGGGGGACCAGATATTGCCTGGGCTGGGGCCCCCTATCGGGCTCACCGCCTGCCTCTTTAGGGAACATACACACGGACGTGCTATCGGAGACACGAAGGAAACGTCACGGACCCTTTCTGAATAAGCAGGTGGCAGGCTCAGCTCTTCCTCCTCCCAGGTTGGCTCTACCTCTGCCTCTGCTTCGGCTCAGTGCTCGCTCCCCTTTCTACGAGGACAATGACGGTGCCCACTGTGTGGCACAGGGGCTCTTTGATAGTCACTGTTGGCACCTTACAGACTCGGAAACCAGACCTGGCTCGCCCGGCACCAGAGCCTTACCTCGCCCGCCTCCCTCCTCGCCTGTCCTCCTCCCTCCCGGGGCTCCCCACTTGCACTGCCCGCTGGCCTGGGGCAGGGAGCAGAGGTGACTGGGGCCAGGTGGCTGGGGTGCATCTGGGACACACGGGAAGCCCGCTGAGCTGGGAGTCGGGGTTGGAGAGAAGGATGGCTCCACAAGATAACGTGGGAAGCTTTCTCTTTTTTAAGATTCTGGGGGCAGCAAGATGGGGAGGCAGGGTGAGCTAAGATCCAGTGGAGGCTGGAGCAGATGTGGGGGGGCCTTTCACAAGCTCTTCCCTGCAGAGCAGAGATGAGGCCATACTCATAGCTCAGGGACAGTCCCTGGCATGTTCATAGGGGACCCGGGGAGGCCTTGACTGGCCTGGGGGGTGTCCTGGGTCTGGGCTGAGGAGGCCCACATGGGGTCAGCTCATGGAGGAGACAGTGAGGATCCCCCACATGGACACCCTCTGGGGATCAGACCTGGTCCAGGGGTGGTAATGGGGAGTGAGCCACCCCTACCCGGCCCCACCCACCCATATAGACACAGAGGAGTGTCCCAGCAAACTGACCCACATTTAAAAGAGGCCGCACTGGGCTGAGCAGGATCAGATAAGGTGGAATCCCGCGGTCAGACGGAGGTCAGTGCCCCCCTAAGGGCCCCCAGCAGGCGGGAGGGAAGCGTTGTCCCCATGGACGTGTGGCAGTGCCTTACCTGCTCGCCACCTTGGCGTCCGGCTCCCTCCTCACCTTCCCAGGTGCCCTGCTGTCCCTCGCTGGGCACCGGCCCTGAGTGTGAAGGGCAGAGTTCTGGACAGGGCAGCTTCAACCACACTCGGCTCCCTGTGGCCTGTGGGCCTTGGGCGGGCGGCAACCAGCACCCAGGCCTCCATGGGGTCTGGGCTGCGCTGCTGGAGGTGGCTGCCAGGGTCTCTGAGGAGGTCAGAGCCCTGTCCGGGGGCCCGCCGTATTGTCCACCTGCCGTCATCATGCTCAGTCCCACCAGGCTGCCAGCCGAGGCTCAGGGTGGCCTCAGCCTTCATATCTCCGGTGGTCAGGAGGCCGCGGGGGTGGCATGGAGCAGCGTGGCAGCCGCAGCCCCATCTGTGCCCACGGGGCATCAGCGTCAAACAAGGGAGGGCATCGTGACGTGTCCATCAGTAAGTGCTTGGGACCCCAGTAAGCGAGTCGCAGCGTCAGCGTAGCCCAGCTGTGGCGGCCCAGGGAGACCGGAACGCAGGTCACCATCGCGGCCACAGCCTGCACTCTGTCATTTCGTGGGGCGCCTGCATTTTTCTGAGAATCCTCCTCGGAGACCATGTAACAGCTACTGCGGGAACCAGGAGGGGTGGGCTGCAGGCTCGGGGACTCATGTCCCTGGAACTGGGACTGGGGGGCTGCGCCCCGAGGAGGGACCCCAGGGTCCAGCAGCCAAGACCAAGCTCTTCCAGAGGAGCCCAGTCAGGAAACTAGTTCTCGCTCCGGCTCGTCAGGGTGGACAGCCGCTCGCTCAGAGCAGCTCAAGCCCCCCTCTCGGCCGCTTCCTCGGCAGGAGGGGGTCCGCACAGGCCAGAGCCTCCTGGGTCCGCGGGGATGATGCAGGCGGTCTCCATTGGCCACCCCGGCACCCGCTGCCGTCTAGTCCAGCCAGAGGGACGGGGTCTGGCTCCTCTGGGGGCTGGAAGAACAGAGACAAGGACACGTCAGGGCGGCGGCTCAGCGACAGGGGGCGGCTGCAGGATGAGGCCCCGGGGAAAGGGCCGCCACCCTCCCGGGGAAGGTCCTCTTGGCACCCTGTGAAGGGCGGGGCCTCGGACACACACAGACGCGTCCTCTCATCTTGTCTCGGGAGGAGGCGGTGGTCAGCCTCCACGTGTGGCCCAGGCGTGAAAGCCGCGGGCATGGCCCACAGCTTAGCACGATCAGGGGCGTGAACGAGCCAGCGCGGCCGGGAGGCTGACCTCTCTGGCCGGTCTCCAGCGGGACCCAGGCTCGTACCCGATCCCACGGGGAAGGACAAAGACCGTGACAGCGCTCTGTCAGCGCTCGTGCCCCAGACACAGGAAACAGTCGCAAGGCTTTTGAGGCACACACAGCCCTTCACTGTGCTGAGGGAGTCCTTGCCCCGCTTCCTTGTCAAGAAAGGCAAGCGCCCTGAGCCCTCTGACGACCACAGGCCCTCTGAATCCTGGCCCCGCCTGGGGCTGAGGGTCCTGGGCTGCCGGGCACCTCCTGGGCGGGCAGGAGGCAGATGGGACCCTCGCCCGGTAACTCTAGGCAATGACATACTCACCACGTCAGGGTGCCCGGGCGAGCTATGACCACAGAATGAAAGCTAAGGAGAAAAATAAGAACAAAAATAGAAACTGAAAAGGAGGGGAGGGCAGAGACATGGAGGGAAAGAGAGAGAAAAGAGAGGTTGTAGTACTTCTGGCAGGAAACACACTGTGGTCGCAGACAGAACAAGATGAGGGTCGGTGGGGTCAGGAGCAATCCTGCCGGCCGGCCGGTGTCCAGCAGTTTAAGGATCACGCCTCGGGGGGCGACAGGGGGGGATGGTGGAGACACCTTGGGTCTGAGTGATGGTGCGGCCATCACACAGACATGCTCTGGGGAACCTCGCATTGGCCAGAGGCAGGGCTGTGGGGGGACAGTCGGGAGGCACGTGCCTGGTGCATCCCTGACTCTCAGGGGCGCAGGTTGGGGTGGTGAAGAGGGGGAGCAGATTGGAGGGAGTGCGGGAGAGGAGCTCTAGGGGCTGGCCTTGGGCACTTACTGGGACGAGATTGCTTGGCAGATGGCAGTGAAGAGCCCAGGTTTTGTCACTGGTGGGAGGGGTGGGGGGGGGGGGGGGGGGGGGGGGGGGGGGGGAGAGCAGGGTGGGATGGGGCGAGCTGTAGGAGGACTGCTGTAGGGAGGGGACCCTCTCCCCTGCGAGCACAGAGCCTCTGCTGGCTCTTTGTGGAGGATGCGCAGCCATGGCTGAGGGAGTCCCGTCCAAGCACCAGCCTCCTGCTCTCTGGAAGGGACCAGCCTTGGCACTCAGGGGGGAGCTGCCCCTCCATGAGGTCTGCCCCCAGGCAGGACTGACCACAAGGACCCATCACTGTGGTCACTGGCGACCACTGAAATGTCCCTAAATTACGGGAAAAGAACTGCCCTAAACTAAGCAAAGAGTCAGGGAAGAGTCAGGTCTCCCCGGGCCTGCTCCATGCAGCTCGGTCTGGGGAGCGCCGAGTCGCACTAATACCGGGAGTGGACGGGGCACCGTGACCCACAGGTGACAGGCCGGGGTCCAGGAAAAGAGCCGCCCCAGGCCCCAAGCTGGGTGGCCCCAAACTAAACCCATGCCAGCCCTCAAGTTGCCTAAACCGAGAAGCAATTGTGTTAAGGACCAGAAACAAAAGACTCGTCCTGGCCGGCCGGCCTGTCTTTGAGCGGGACATCGTCCTGCAGAAGCTTGGTTTACAGACCAGCGTGCTTGGGGAACTTGGACAAATCACATGCCTCAGCCGGCTGTCAGGGAGCCTGGGTCGCTGGTCCGGCACACCTGCCACAGCTGGGGAAACTGAGGCCAGGAGAGACGCAAGAGGTCGCACAGCTGGGCCATGGCAGAGGGGGTGCCCCAGACCCCAGGCCCCAGGCTCCTGGTCCAGAGCCGCTGTGGCCCTGAAGCCTCTCTCTGTTCTCCTGTGCCCCGACCCAGCCAGCACCCAGTGACGCCGTGTGAGTTATTGGTCCTTCTCTCTTTCAGACGCTCCGGTAACAAAACAAGCCCCAAAATGTGCATTTATTTTACCTTTTCCTCCAGTTCCTTTATTTGTCTCTTCTGAGCCTCTATTCTTTCTTCTAACTCTTTAATTCTCTGCAACGGTAAAAGGAGGGAAGGCTTCGGTCAGCAGGCTGCCTGGGAAACCACGTGGGAAGACGGCTTTCAAGGTTTCGCTCAGGGACCTGGTGCACAAACAGCCACCGAGCCACTGCCATGCTGGACGGGGGCCCCGCGGTCGTGCTGTGAGGGGGCCTGGAGCCTCAGCCTGTCCTCCCCAGGGTGTCCAGGACCGGGCAGGTCTGCTGGCCCTGACCCCCCGACAGACAACAGCCTGTCCCAGCTCGTGGCTTTGCTACGCTCAACAAGAGGACGGCCCTCCCTCAGCCACGCTCCCCTCCCACCTCCTGCAACCTCAGACTATAAACCATGATGCTAGAAGCCCAAGGAAATGGTAAGGAATCGAGTCACAGTCCTTCCCAAACGTTACAGTGGAGTGACGGGTGACGTACTGCGCTGAAGCCCTTTAGGATGCAGTGCCAAGTAGAGGCACGTTTGCGTGTGCCCGCAGCACCTGGGCCCCGAGGCAGCAGTGCTCTGACCACGGCCACCTGGTGGGGGTGGGGGCCACAGGCGATGGTCCCACACTGACCTCCCTGGGTCTGGGGTGAGGGTCCTGGCAGCTGGCTAATCCTCTGCTCAGACGTTAGCCCCTGACAGTCACTGTCGCCTCCCTGACTAGCTCCCCTGTCTCTGCAAGTGCAGGCATTGCATTTGGGGTGTTCTGAGCAGGGTACACATCCATGTCCCTTCCAGGTCATGCAGGACGCAGAGGGGAGAGGGGGCAGGGGGGGCATGTCTTGCACACCAGGCTGCCTACAAATGGACTGGCCAGAGGAGACCAGGGGCTGCTCCCCGGCCCACAAGCTGCTGCTCCCGGATGGCACCTTCACCACGCCCTCCCCCGGCAGTCAGGGGTCCCGACAGTCAGGGGTCCCAGGAGAGGGGATGTGGCCCCGGAGGCCGGACAGTGTGGCCCCGGAGGCCGGTCTGGAGGGGCAGGTGGTCTGTCAGGAGGGCCTGCATGGGTGTGGCTAATAGGGCGTGGTCATGGGGTGTGGCTACTGGAGGGCATGTTCATGGCACCATCTCCCCCGCCCCCGGCGCACCTGCTGTGCCAGCTGCAGGAGCTCCATGCGCTCCCGCAGGATCTGGGCGTCCCGCTCGCGCAGCTCGCTCATGACCTGGCGCTTCCACTGCTCCACGGCCACCCTGAGCTTCTCCCGCTCCTCCTCTGACAGCAGCTCGGCCACCTTGGCCCCCGCCTCCTGCTGCAGGGCGTCGAACAGCATGGCCTCCAGCTCCAGGATGTGCTGGGCGGGAGGGGAGAGGTTAGTCCTTGCCCGGTGGGGCCGGGCACCCCGTCCCTCGGTGTTACAGCTCCGAGCCACTGCACCGTGGGCACTGGACTGGCTGCAGCGATGCTCTGCAGGAGCCCGGGCCACCGGGGGACGTCTCTGACCCTCCTGACAACTCCAGGAAGGAGAATGAAGGCCCCTGTTTACCATGAGGGGCCGAGGGGCCCCAGGCCTCCCCGCTGGTGGAGGGTAGTCCCAGACCCCACGCCTGCTTCTAGCCCATCCTTGGGCCACCTCGCCCAGGCCACCTCGCCGGGGCCCCTGGACGGCGTTTCCTGAACCAGCACAGGACACGCTCAGACTTTACGACTTTACGGATTCGCACTCCAGGGGGAGACAAAGGCACATGGACTAGGACGAACCTGCAGGGAGACATTCATTCACGGGTAACCAGTGGCCAGAAAGCAGGAGGGGGCTTTGCTCCCGCAGGAAACTTTGGGTTCCTTCGTGGGGGACGCTGATTCCCACCGGCAGGCCGACGTGTGGGTCAGGGAGTGGGGGGTGAACACAGCAGGAACCCCAGTAGAGAGGTGTTTCTTAACTCAACTGTGTTCAGTTAATTCGCAAATGAATCATATTTCAATGACTTCAATGCTATCCCCTCATTTCAAATGTCCCTTTGATTCTGCTCGTGTGCCCTCGTTCCTGGGGCGAAGCGTTTGATGACAGGCCTGGGCATCCTCGGAGCTCGCCGGGCAAGGGGGTGTCAGAGGGACATAGGCAGGCAGTGACCCCATGGGTCACACTGGCCCAGGCTCTCCCAGCAGGTCTGAGGCCTGGTCCACACAGGCCCCTGAGACACCCCACTGGCGAGGGAGAACTTTCCCCATTTCCCTGTCCCCCAGGGGTCAGCAGCACACGCCTCTCACCTTGTGAGCCTGGTCCAAGGCCTGCTTCCTGTAGTCCAGCTCCTCGTCCAGGTAGCCCTTCTGCTTACTGAACAGCTCCTGAAACACAGAGGACCTGTGTCTTGGCCTCGGGGTCTGGCCTGGTGACGCCGGGGTGCGGGCCACATGGCGAGACACCCACCCACCTTCTCACTCTCCAGGTCGACCATCTTCCGCTGCAGGGCTGTCTCCATCTCTTCCATCTGCTGGAGCCACTGGACACAAACAGAGCAGGTGGCTGTGACCCTGGGGTGCCATCCCCTCCCCCTCCATCTAAATAGCCTGCGGAAGGAGGGAGGCAGGCCTGGCCCCGGTGTCCCCCCTACTCTTCCTCCTGGAGGGGAGAGCTCGCCCTCATCGGGAGTTGGGTCGGTGCTGGCACCTTGGTCTCCCTGAGCTCCATGTGCCCAGGGTACAGGCCAGTACAGGCTCCAGCCCACGCCCCTCACCGGGGATCCAGTTCGCAACCCTAGCATGTGCCCTTGACCAGAATCGAACCTGGGACCCTTCAGTCCGCAGGCCGACGCTCTATCCACTGAGCCAAACCAGCCAGGGCATGGTGGGTGCTTTTTGACCTCTGTGTGTGCCAGGCCTTCCAAGGCCAACAGGATTAGCAACCCCCCTACCCTCCCTCCTCCCAGGAGGAGCATTTCTCTGAGCTGAGTGTGGAGAGGGAGACCTGCTGGGAGCATCCACACAATCACTTACCTTTTCAGCCAAGGTCAGGACTGTCCTGGCTTGTATGACAACCACTTGCTCTTCATTGGTCAGATTCTGCATCAAAGCAGAACAGACATATAGTCAGGGGCAGGGCCATCGGGGTAGCTGGGATGAATGACAGGTGCATGGTGAGACTGATTGATGGGTGCTCAGTGGGACTGAATAATGCGTGCATGGTGGGGCTAAATGAGGGGTGCATGGTGGGGCTGAATGAGGGGTGCACGGTGGGGCTGAATGAGGGGTGGGTGGGGATGAGAACAGACATATAGTCAGGGGCAGGGCCATCGGGGTAGCTGGGATGAATGACAGGTGCATGGTGAGACTGATTGATGGGTGCTCAGTGGGACTGAATAATGCGTGCATGGTGGGGCTAAATGAGGGGTGCATGGTGGGGCTGAATGAGGGGTGCACGGTGGGGCTGATTGATCAGATGCAGGGTGGGGGGCTGGGGCCACAGCTAAGGCTGCTTTTACTAAAACGCCCTCCCAGGAGTCTGATATGCTGTTCGTGACCCTGTTCACTCTGGGTGCATTCTCCTTTCTGTCCTCTCTGGTCCTCTCACTGCTGGTGGCCATGATGGTCTAATTAGCCCACTGAGGCAGAATGGGATGGTGGGCAGCGTATCAAGCAGGCAGGCAGCAATAAATGTGTCCCCACCTGTCTATGTCCCCATCTTTGTGTAAAGTCAGCCCTTTGCATACACAGCCCTGAATTAGTAAAACACTGCTGACAAATGTGGAGCAACGATCAAACACCCGTGGCTGTGAAATGGTCCCCATCCTTGGTGTTTTTGCCTTTTTTCTGCTTGTTTTATTCCTGTCTCATTCCAAGGAGCCCACCTGGGTGGTCCCTCCAGGTGGGGAGTTTGGTTTTGAGACCAATGAGCATCCTCAGAGGATGTGGACACAGGATGTGGTGAGAGCTGGGCTGTCCATGACTCCCTCTGCAGCGGGAGCTCCCTAAGGGCAGGGGTCTCTTGCCATCCCAATACCCATGCAGGCGGCATAGGGTGGGGGGTAGTGACCAAGTGCTATGGGGGCACACTGCACCCCTGACTCAGGCACGGTACTGGGGCTGGGGCCAGTGCCCCTCATCCTTCCTGCCTCCGGGAAACTGGCCAGGCTGCATGCATGTCTGGGTTTTGGTATGTGCTTGTGAGTGAGCGTGTGTGTGTGTGTGTGTGTGTGTGTGTGTGTGTGTATTTGCATGTGTGTGTTTCTTTTTCTTCCATGTACTGTGAGAAGTGCACTAGTTTGTCTAAGTGCTCTTTCTTGAGAGCAGTGACCAGGATGGGAAGCCCAAGGGCCTTAGGACAGCTGTAGCCATGTGTTTGTTAGTACACCTTGAGGGGGGGAGTTCTGGGGTATGAAGTGGGGCTGCCACCTAGTTCAGTCAATCCACCGCTTGGGCAGAGGACTCAACAAGTGTAAGATGATGGATGGAGGCAGGTTGGAGGGTGGATGAACAAAGGATGGAGGATGGGGAACTGATGGATGGAGAATAGAGGATTAAGGGTGGGTAGATGGAGGATGGACGATGGAGGATAATGGAGAATGGAGGATGGATGGATGGATGGATGGATGGAGATGAAGGACAATGGAGGAGAGAGGAGGAGCTTTGTGGATGGAGGATAGAGGATGAATGGATGGATGGAAGATAGATGGACGGAGAGAGGATGGAAGATAGATGGACGGAGGAGAGAGGATGAAGATAGATGAACGGAGGATGAAGGATGGATAGATGGAGGCTGGCTTGCTAGAGGATGAATGGTTGAGGGATAAATGAATGGAGGATGGCTGGAGGATGAATGGATGGATGGATGGATGAAAATAGATGAATGGACAGAGGATGGAGGCTGGGATGTAGGCACAGTTACTTTGTCCCTTCACTAATTAGGATTCCTTCTGGGTTTGTTGTAGAAATTGGAAATCTGGCCTAAATGAGACTTGGGATATTAATGGGCTCTGGCCACCCTCCCAACCAAGAAAGTGAGACTCCCAAGTCTGGGTTGCGTGCGGCATCCATCCCAGCCAGGGTTTGGAAGAGTTAGAGACTGAGCGGGATTCAGAAACGGAGAACATGTGGCTAGAAGCACCTCTGCTGGGGAATTGGCCGTGGGCTTCCCACCCTCGCAGAGCCGAGGCCCCAAACCCCCGTTTGGGTGCTGGTTGCCACCCACACGGGCACAGGAAGAACATGAGAAAGGAACAGGATTTCTCCCAAATGCCTGGGGCCCATCTCAAGCAGCCCTGGCCACAAGGAAGGCGTGGCTGGGCAGGGCCGCCTGTGGCAGGACCACAGAGGGCTCACGGGGGCCCCGGACCACGGCATGAGGAGGCATGCACAAGTCAGGAGAGCAACATACACTTACGGCGTTGTCCCCCAAGATGTCCAGCTTCTTCATCAGCTCTGTGACCTGGATGTCCTGGAGGCAAAGACACGAGGGACAAGCGGGAGGTGAGCGCTAGCCAGGTGGGGTGGGCGTGGGCACAGCTGGGACACAGTTGGGGGGGTGGTGGTTACCGTCACGCCTTCCGCCTCACAGTACGCTTGCAGGGGGCTCTTGCCATCCACGAAGGGGATGTGGTGGAAGTTGATGGCGGGTGACTTCCTCTCCCTCTCCTAGACAGAGAGCAAGGCTGGGCACGGGCCGCTGGTCCCTCCCGGCTTCTCCTGCCATGGAGGCTGTGCTGGGGCAGCCCAGGGAACACAGGAAAGCCACAGAGGCCACCAAACGTGGTCAACACGACATTTGCGCATCAGGAAGGCCGAGTGAGGGGCCGGCTCAGCCCTCCATCACACCAGGCCCACAGGCAACCCCACTCGGCCACCTCTGCTCATGCCCAGCACCCCGCCCACAGCGCACCTCCAGTTCCAGGATCCGGAATTCCAGCAGCTCGTTCTGGTCTTTCACATCCTGGACCTCGTGTTTTAACCGAGCCTCTTGCGTCTCCATTTGCTTAATCTGTAAAAATAAAAGCGGGGCGAGACACCGGAGGTCATGTGAGGTCAACTCCCTGCCTTTCCCGGCAGCTTCTGGCTGTCCCTGGGGATGGTGACTGGCCCGGGTGCCTGGCCCAGAGCCCAGCCTGCAGGGACCCGCACGCGTCTGTGAGCACAGAGACATCGTGCTCTTCCTAGGGGACCGGCCGGGCTCCGGGACGGGTCAGGCGCACCTTTTCCACAAGCTCTTGGTTTCTCCGGTACAGGGCTTGCTTCTCTCCGATCCACTTCATGTCCTTGAAAATGAAATGGACACGGAGGGATAAATACACTGCAGGGTACAATCATACAGCCAACATTTAAATCACGGCTCCGCGGAGCAGAGGGTTTGACAGACGGGCGCAGCACCCAGCTCCCGAAGCAGCCGCCTCAGGACAACTGTCACCTGCTAATGACAACCCATGACATCACCCACTTCTTGGGGGTCCTGGATGGAGACAGGAGGGGCCAGCCCTGCTTCGGTCAGACCCATGTGCCCCCCTGTGGACGCACTCACCTGGCCCTCCTCGGCCAGGGCCTTCTCCAGGTCCTCTATCTGTGTCTGCGCTCTCTGCACTTCTGCTTGCAGCTGCTCACGGGTCTGTGGGACCGGAGGAGAGACATCAAATTTTCCCTAAGAGCCTCCATGCCCCCATGACGGAGGTTCAGAGGGCGACGGCGGGTTCAGCTAGCGGGGAAGTGGCCGTTAGCGGCTTTGCAAGGATGCTCCGCAAGGAAGGACCTCATGGCTCACGAAGGGAGGCCCTCACTCGATACGGGGATGATCTGTGATTCGTTTTGAGGGATTGTTAGGGGAAATCCTCCGGTGCAGGGTGAAATGGCCGAGGAGGACTGGGCCTGCTGGGTGCGGGCCAGGCCTGGTCCAGTCCCTGATGACAGTGCGACCACACTCAGAGGGGCTTGCAAAGCAATCGCAGCCCAGACCCCGACAGAGCCTTCCCTTCAACATGCGCCCTCTGCCAGCTCTGGGTTCCCTCCTTTTCCGAGCCTATCCCTTGTTTACAAAACCAGCCGCCTGTGAGTTAATTCCCTCTGATGTCTAAACCACAGGGCGCTCCTGCTCCCCTGGGCATGGGCACTCCTGCTCCCCTGGGCACAGTTTCCAGGGCAAATGGATGAAAGCATTTGGGGCCAGCTGGGCACAGGGCCTGGGGGGGTCCCTCAACTGGAGGCCTCCTCTCCCCTAAGGGGCAGCAGGTGGGCACAGCATCTGAGCTGAGCATGTGTTAGATGAATGAATAATCTCAGCAAATTTCCCCAGGCCTGGTCCAGTCCCTGATGACAGTGCGACCACACTCAGAGGGGCTTGCAAAGCAATCGCAGCCCAGACCCCGACAGAGCCTTCCCTTCAACATGCGCCCTCTGCCAGCTCTGGGTTCCCTCCTTTTCCGAGCCTATCCCTTGTTTACAAAACCAGCCGCATAAGTGCCCCCGGGGCTTCCAGGGGACCCAGCCCCCCTCCTGTGAGTTAATTCCCTCTGATGTCTAAACCACAGGGCGCTCCTGCTCCCCTGGGCACAGTTACCAGGGCAAATGGATGAAAGCGTTTGGGGCCAGCTGGGCACAGGGCCTGGGTGGGTCCCTCAACTCGAGGCCTCCTCTCCCCTCAGGGGCAGCAGGTGGGCACAGCATCTGAGCTCAGCATGTGTTGGATGAATGAATAATCTCAGCAAATTTCAAAACCTGAGCTCAAATGCTGGCCCTCCCTCACCTCTGTGCCTCCGCTAGGGGGCAGCTCCCTAAAAGCACCGCTGCCAGGTGTGCAAGGAAGGCGGCTTCACCTTCAAGGAGCTGCAGGCCCTACGACCTCCACAACGGCCCAGAGCAAAGGAAACGAACATGCTCTCTGGGAGTTCACCAGCACAGCTCTGCCAGGCCCCAGCCCAGCCAAGCCAGTGCCGGCTCCCCCAACACTGGTTCCTAGTTGTCTGGGCACTGGTCACACTGAGGTGGGGGAGGAAGTGAAGGGCCCGGGCGGGAAGGTGGGGTGATGCCTATGTCCCTGCCGCGGCCGGGGTCAAGTGGGGAGGTCCCACTGGAGTGGAAGTCAGTTAGACCTTAACTTCTCGCTCTGCGTCCAGCGTCCCTCCGACCTGCTCCTGCAGCAAGGCGTACGCGCGCTGCAGGGCCTGGTACTCCATGGTCAGCTGCCGGAACCGCAGCTCCGTCTCCTCTTTGGCCATGCCCTGGAGAGGCGCACAGACACAGCGTCAGCGCCTGGCCTCGGCCTGGGGGCCCGGGAGGTGAGTCTGAGTCCCTGGGCTGGAAGGCCAAGGCCAGGGCCCCGCTGGGCTTCCACCTGGAGAGGGCAGGAGGCTGCTGCTGCCTCCTGAGGCCCTACTGGACCCCAAAGGGCTCGCTGCTCAGAAAAGAAGCCAGAGGTCTGCGTGGGGGGGCGGCCGTGTCTGGAGCAACCAGGCCCAGGAACCCTAACCTGGCCCAGCTCCCCCAGCCCCATCCTGTTCCCTGAGGCTTATGGTGGCAAGTGCACTGCTGTGGCTGAGAGCGCTAAGCAGCTCCCTGGCCCTGAGGCATCCGCCAGACCTACCAGGGGTGGCCCCACCATGGCCTCAGTGCCCCCAGGGCCTGGTCCGGGCAGTGGACCACCGGCCACTCCTTGTCCCC